CTCCGGCTCTGGCTCCGGGTCCGGGTCCGAACGCCCGGCCCAGGCTCGCCCAGGTCTCGGGTCAGGTAAAGGGAGCTGGAGGTTTAATGGACAATATAGCAGTGCGCTTTAGGGCTGGACTCTTGTCTAGAGAACTCTTGTCTAGAGGGCTGGCGCAGCGAAAAGTGCTGAGGGGAAATGCTACTGCACCTGCAGTCTCTGTGAGGAAATGAAAATGCCTCAGGAGCCTGCCCAGGTTGCGGTGGGGCAGGAGGCAGGCATCTCGCAAAAGCAGGCTGAGCACCATCACTGCGTCCTCAACTCTACAGCTTTGAAAGGGAAGAGCTGGTTTACTCTACTTTAGGAGGCTTCTCAGCCGTGGTCCTTCCTGCTCTGGTCCTTCCTGCTCTGAGCAAGATCCATAGTGGGCAAGATTTAAAATAAACTCTCCTGCATTTTGGTATCTTCATAAGTGACTAGACCCAGGTTATCGGTCCCATGCAGGCTTCACAATTTACTTATAATGGTCTTCTTATGCGTAACAGGTTCTCCTGCTAAAACCTTTAGATGTATCGTCTGGAAAAGCTGGAAAGTAAATCAAATACTGACTTGGCTGATCTAAATACATACCTTAAAATGCAATCACAGTTTGGAGACTCGGACAAAGGCCATGGAGGGGAGGTGACTGCGCAAGAGTTGTCAGGGGAATCTCTGAACGACACCAGCAATGAAGCTACCCACACAGAAAATGAAGGCAAATCTGTCAGCAGAGGTGAGCCTGTCCAGCTGGCTTGCTGGGACTGATTTAGGGAACATTAGTGAACGTAAAGCCTAGACACCAAGTCTGACATTACTCACCCGGATGCAATATAAGTTTATTCTTTCTTTTAGTAAAGCCACTGAAAATCTTGCCATAACTGAGGCTTATTAAATTGCTATGTTCTTGTGCACTTGGTTTGTTGGTTTTTGTTTTGTTTTGTTTTTCTTCGTTTGTTTGTTTGTTTGGGTTTTTTGTTTTGGTTTTGGTTTTTTGTTTGTTTTTGGGGGGGGGGTTTGGTTTTTTTGTTTGTTTTTTTTTTCTTTCTTGTTCTGTTGCTTTACTTTTCCCTTGCTGGAGGGATACCTTTTCCTGTGTTGCAGTTATACAACCCGTCTGACCTCTAAATGTTTTAGTTACAATCATATTTAAGTGAGCTGGCACAATCATCTTGTTTGCACTGTCTCTTTTTAAGTGTACGGGCTACAAGTGCAACTAGAAGGTCCAGAGCAAGACTCTGAAGAGTGCTGAAAATGCAATTAATCAAAAGCAATCTAAAGACAGCTCGAATGAGTATAGCACTGGAGACAACCTCCACAGAGTGCAAAAGGGTAAATTTGTAGAAAAGCTAGACTAACAGTGCTTGAGATGACTCAGATACACCATTACTGTGGTCTCTTTACATGCAAAGTTAGCAGTCTTGTTAAACTTAAATTATTGTAAATTAAAGGTAGTATACAGTAGATGTCTAAGACCATAAGAACACGGGGAACACGGGTGCCAGTACTTTATTGTCACTATAAGTTATAATAATCATAAGACTAGTGACTTCCAGATCTAATAAAATATGAAATACGGATTTCAACAGTTCATTTTGCTACTACTTATTTTACTGCTTTGCCTCCTAAAAAGTTAAGCTTCCTTTCATTAAAAATGCCATCAAAAGTCTCGGTTACAACACTTCTTTTCTTGCAATTCATATTAAATTATTATTCAATATTTCTTTAAAGTAATTAGCAACATGACATTTTTTCCCTAGTCATGCTGTTAAACTGCAACTTGTTTTCTTGCTCACAAAGATGTTAAAACTCAAGAGAAAGCCATCAACTGGATGTCCAGTGCAGATCAACAGAATGGACAAAAATCAGATGATGATCACAAAGCTGTCAGCAGCTTATGCTGTCAAAGGACAGAAGAAAAGAGGGGCTGTCTGAGGTAATACATTTGTTGTGGAAGTTTTTTATTTAAATCTTGGCATCACTGGAGTCAGTGGGAGTTTTGCTGTTCTGTATGTTAATCTTAATTCTGGAGAACAATTTTGAAGATGAGAATAATTGATACATCAGGAATTAGTGCTATTTTGAGCATCTATACAGCTCCATTTTTTTTTTTTCTTTATGGCCACAGTGCCAAAACTACATTCTAACTAGATGATGTAGTCTGTTCAATAGTTCTAGAGAAAACTTTACACACTCTTTTGGGAGTAATTTTTCAGTAGACTTGGCCATTTCTCAACATTGAATCAGAAAATGCACTGTATTAATTCATCACAATGTAGATATTACAGTTTTCAAGATAATTTTCAGTGGAGGAAATCCAGAAGTACCTCAAATGGTTGACAATAAGACACATCTCCTTTGTAAGCTTTGGCTTTAATTTTGGTCCACCCTAAACCAGGATGTGCTGCAATAGCTGTTTATTAATACTTGTGAAATGGGATTATTCTGCTGTTATCTCTGATGAAGCACATTGCAAGCAACTATTAAAGTTAAACCCCACATTTGGTACTATTTAATTACATTGTTGAAAGTCTGGTCATGTAGGCTAGTTAACGAGTGATATATAAGGAGCAGTGAAGATTTCCCTCTGTTCCTCTACCTGCTTACATGTTTGTGAAACTTCCCTAAGTTTATATTGATGCTAACTTTAGGGCAGCTGTTCTATTAGAGCGAGTTACAGTCTTTTAAAGCCAAGGGAAAGACTTAGTGAGTTATCAGAAGGTGAAGTGGACTGTACCTACAGAGAAAACTTCACTAACGTGGGCTGATAGCCTAACACACTTCAGAATTAAGTTCTTATGAAGAATGACAGCAGAGAGCAGTAATTGTACACGAGATACCATTTTGAAGAAACACCTTTTGTGATCCTATGAATTGCGTGAGAATGCTAACAATTCGATTAAATGCTACTTCAAATAGCACAACGAAAAGCAGTGGGATATACTGCAAGTAGCTAGCATGCAATAATCTACCAAGGCTGACAATACAAGAAAACATTATATATCTAAAGATTGTGCTTGAAGTTTATATATGTTTCATTCCTTCTGAGATTTATGTCAGGGCCCATTTGGCTACAGGGCTGTTACAGGCTGACATTCATATTTTATATTGTCCCAGAAACTCAGTTGACTAGGTTGACTGTATTAGAGGTTTGTTCTTAAGCAATATTGAGATTTTTAATTTAGTAAGTAAATATATCTAAAAGCAAAATCGTTACAAAAGGTTTAAATTCACTGCATTTACTCAAGGTTCTTTTGATATTTTGAAAATATCTTCATGCCAAGAAGATCTTACTGTGACAGACCGTAGGCGTACAAATATTTATGACCACAAATGCAAAGTGCAATTTGTTAATAAAGAATTTAAGAGTAGAAAATAATTTTGGATTATTTAACATTGTACTTTTGCAATATTTCTTTAAGTGAGGGATATCTACTAGAAATTTTATTCAGGAATTTTGTTTTACAGAACCTAATCTTTCTAATCAAGAAGATACAGGTGTTTTCTGCTTTGAAATGTTTTTGTTAGTTGTTTTCCATATGGATCACAAGTTGCTTGTCTATAATGTTACTAAATTTTATGTAGCCCTGGACAGCTTGCCTCCTAAAACAGTGTCCTGTTGCTCTTTGCGAAGTCCAGGCTAGAGGACCACCAGCTCTATGAAACTGTCGATCCAGTGCTGTCTAGCACAGGGTCTGCACATAATGGCGTAACTCATCCCTTCTGCCACTCTTCACCGCAATCCTTTCTGTTTTAACAGTTTTAAGGCCACCCATGTACTTACTCACCCTTTGGGGTTTTACTGTCCTGCTGACTGCCATATGTGCAGCTTTGGCCTTGTCTAGCTGCTGTTGGCTGCTAGCCCAAGTGCTTTGCCCTTGCAGCCTCTGCTGTTTCACACTGTAGCTTTCTGCCCAATCTCTGTTGCCAAGTCCTCTGCCCCTGTACTGTTCAACTGAAGCCCGCAACATCCCTAAGCAGCCTTTTCTTGCTTCTCACTTACATGAGCTAAACACTAAGCAATTATAGTTGAACAGATAATATTTTTCTTACTGGTGGAATTCCTAGCCATCACAGTTGTATACTAAAACTGCCTTGAGTGCTATTTAAAACTCAGCATTTCATTAAAATGTTAGGTTGATAACTGTTGATTTTTCTAGTCTCATAAAAATGTTGCGTATTGGCTGTGCCAGCAAAGGTCCTGCACTGAAGCAGCAAGGAATGGGGGAAAGAGCTGGAGAGGAAGAAACCAGAATACAACATAGAATCATGCTGACCTTTTCCAAGAAGATGGACTCTTTAATTTCTTACCCATTTCCTACATACTCTCTGTTTTTTAGTGGAAAAGCCTGGTAACTCACTTCAAACAGGTAGAAATGGAAAACCACTCTAAAGAAAACTACTGCTTTTTTATTTGGAGAATAGTCTTGAAAGCTGAAGCTATTTCTCATGCACAAAAGAACTATTAATTGTATTGCGTTGATATCTGTTAAAAACTCAGAGATTTCAGAATATGCACTGAAATACTTTTTTGTTTTGTTTTGTTTTGCTTCTGTTTCCATTATTTTAGAATGACAAAAAAGGTTCTGCAAGACATCTGTAAACAGCAGAAATTATACGTGACCCCATACTTAAATGACACTCTTTACTTGCATTATAAAGGTAAGATGTGGACATGACCAATTAGACTTAAGTAGCATTTTAGCAGAGAATCTATTTTATGGCCTATTGAAGTAAGGTATCTGAGTTCTTTTATATTAGAAACATAGTTTAATTTTATATAACAATGAGATTGTGAAACAAAGTGAGTCAGAATGATGGTAGAAAAGTGAACTCATTATAGATCTAATAGTCCTAATCCACTTTGTGCAGTCATGCAAAGGATTGATAGGAATCTAGGAGCACTCTTTCTCCTCCCCCCCCCAAAAAAAACCGGGTAGCCTCTGAGAAATATCTTAAAATACTGGTCTGGGTTGCATTCAGAGGAAAATACATATATTTCTTCTTAAATGTGTTTGTACAAAGAAGCTTTTTTCCAACTTTGAGGACTTTATTACTGCCAAATAAAAGAGGTCAGGAAGAAAACAACAGAAAGATAAAAGTGAAAGAAAAAGAAGTTGCTAGGATGAACATGGATCATCCTTTTGTAATCTTGGAGCAGATTTTTGCATGATATGGTTAACTGGCTTACATGAGAATTGTTTTAAATAAATAGGACATTATAAAATAAATCTACCTTCTACATTTGGCCTTGGTTTTGCTGTTTTCTCAGGTTGTATTATTTGAGCACCTAAAGGGCTGCATGAAATGTAGACCAGAATAGGTACATATATGGTTGTGCCCTTTAAGGGCCAGGTACTGTACTAATTAATTCAGTGGAAATACTGGCAGCAACTTGAGTACAAGTGTTCTCACAGCTGTTTCAGCAGCATTCGTTTAATGAAATTTACTCTTCCAAAGACTTGGTTTCAGCCAATGCCATTTCATTTTGAAACATCTTTTCTCGTAGGATTTGACTGCCTGGAGAATCTTGAGGAGTATACTGGGTTGAAGTGTTTATGGCTGCAATCCAATGGCATAACAAAAATCGAGAACTTGGAGGCTCAGACAGAGTTGCGTTGCCTCTACCTGCAACTCAATTTAATTAAGAAAATTGAAAACCTTGAACCCTTACAAAAGCTGGATTCCCTCAATATCAGTAACAACTACATCAAGACCATTGAGAATCTCTGTAAGAACTGTTGGAACAACATGTAACGAGGTTGGAATAACCTGTAACGAGCCCATATTTCTAAGCTTTGACTAAGCTAAGCTATAGGAGGTGGAAGCGAGGACAGGAAGCGTGGGAAGACCACGGGAATGTAGTCCAGGAAGCCAGGGACCAGGTTAGGAAAGCTAAGGCTCAGTTAGAATTAAATCTGGAAAGGAACGTGAAAGATAGCAGGAAAGGCTTCTGTAGGTACGTAGCAAAT